CAAATCACACCCTAGATAGATAGATAGATAGAATCATATTTGTTGTAACGCTTAGTATTAGGTAGAGTTTTGTATTTTTATATATGCTGTAGAGTTTCATCCTCAGAGGATTATGTAAAATATTACATTTAACAATCCTCTGAGGATGAAGCTGTACTGTATATGTAAAATACAAAATGCCACCTAATACTAACTGAAGATACTTCATGCCTTGCTGATCAGCAGTTGCAGTCCTTGTCGTTTGTTACTGTATTTTTATATAGTAAAGGCTTTTAGATTTCTTCGAGTTTCTCCTCACCTGATAGTTCTGCACCACCTTCCTCAGCCTTTTTCCCAGCATGCTACTTGACATCTCTTCATTCCAGACCTCTCCGAGTGCTCCATTAGGCCCAAAAACAACAGCATCCCCATTTGCGGCACCCGCATCTCCTCTCCGTCGGCCTCCAAAAATAGTCTCTAAAGCACGTCTCAGCGGTTGTGATAGAAGCCAGTAAAATAGCCCACGCTCTCTTCGTTTGCCCCTGAGGTTGCGGTCCTTAGTACCGCTCTCCATTGAGTAGTTAGAAGACGACAGGATGGGAATAGGCTTTTGAGGATCTCCAGGAATAACACCTGGGAGCTTTTGAGGGTCAGTATACATGGGTTTCGACCCTCCTGTTCCCCGCAATACCTTCAATAGATCAATGTCACTTTTAGTAAGGATGCAGTTTACATTTGACTATATAGAGTCTTGCAGGAATGAAGTCATTTTGTAGGCCATCCCAGAAGTTAGCATCACACAGGGTTTCCTTGATAAAAGCCAATAGGATTTTTCCAGTGTCTTTTGGATTATACTCTTAAAAATAAAGGTGCTTCACAATGCCATAGAAGAACCTTTTTTGTCGAAATGGTTCCATAGAGAACCTTTAACATCTGAAGAACCTTTCTGTTTCACAAAAGGTCCTTTGTGTTAAAAGAAGGTTCTTCAGATTATAAAAAGGTAAGAAAGATGGTTCTTTAAAGAACCTTTGACAATAGTTCTTTGTGGATCGCTGTGAAGAACCTTTTAAGCACCTTTATTTTTAAGAGGTTACAGCAGAAAATAAGCTCTGTGACCAACAAAAGTTTGATTCTTACATGTTTGTTCATCAAGATAATTGAAGCAAATGAACAGTGTTTATCAATCACCAGGAGTAAAAATCTTACGGTAGGCAATAAACAAACTGCAAAAGTTGAGCTTGTCTTAATCACAGACCTTATCTTAGGCATTTAACCAAAAACCTATTCAAAAAAAAACCATTGACTTTCGGACAATGGAACCAGATGAGCTGAAAACCTCATTTCCAGGCTTTAGGACTCATTCCTGCTTCACTCTAATGTTCAGATTCAGTGGAGCAGAAGGCTGTGTGAGTTAAGGAATCTCCTTGAAGTACCTTAACAATTGTACGCGCTCTTGGCTGAGCTCGAGTTCTCGCCTTCACCCCGAAAATGGCATCTGTGACCGGTATGCTGTTTTCAGCGCAAAAGTGCCATTAATCGAACTATGTACTATAACATGTAAAACGGGAACATGAAAGGAATATTCTAAAAGCAACTCATGTAAACACCATAATCATAATATTGGCTTATTTAGAATAAGGTAAATAATTAGATTACTGATGTCCATGTAAACGTAGTCAATATTAGCTAATTAAAGGATGTCCTCTGCAAAAGGAGTTGGCAGACACATAGAAGCATATGTATGGATTCAGCTGAACGAAGACTGTAGAAAATAGTTTGAAACTGTCAAATATTCACTTTGAAGTCCTGGTCAGCTCAGGTTAGTAATTGAATTAGTGTGAAGGAAAAAGCATGTTCAATAAACTAGAGAATTTCTAATTGTAGTGGATTATATTGTAGCCTCCTTTTGATGTGATTTTATAATATGTCAAACTGTTGGGTTAAATATGTAAAATGCTTCGGTTGCCCTACATTTCAGCTAACGGAGTTCAGTAATGCAGTTCAGCTTGAAATTCTTTAAAGAACCTTTGACAATAGTTCTTTGTGGATCGCTGTGAAGAACCTTTTAAGCACCTTTATTTTTAAGAGGTTACAGCAGAAAATAAGCTCTGTGACCAACAAAAGTTTGATTCTTACATGTTTGTTCATCAAGATAATTGAAGCAAATGAACAGTGTTTATCAATCACCAGGAGTAAAAATCTTACGGTAGGCAATAAACAAACTGCAAAAGTTGAGCTTGTCTTAATCACAGACCTTATCTTAGGCATTTAACCAAAAACCTATTCAAAAAAAAACCATTGACTTTCGGACAATGGAACCAGATGAGCTGAAAACCTCATTTCCAGGCTTTAGGACTCATTCCTGCTTCACTCTAATGTTCAGATTCAGTGGAGCAGAAGGCTGTGTGAGTTAAGGAATCTCCTTGAAGTACCTTAACAATTGTACGCGCTCTTGGCTGAGCTCGAGTTCTCGCCTTCACCCCGAAAATGGCATCTGTGACCGGTATGCTGTTTTCAGCGCAAAAGGTGTACAGGAGAGCCATAGTCATACAGAACAGTGCCATGCACAGGGCCCCTCGTCGGGCCCGGCGCCTCAACCGCCAAAGTTGGCTAACACGATCCATGGCAGCCCCTGGGATCTGGATAATGAATCACAGACAATGAGTACATTTACATGGACAACATTACTCCAATTTTTTAATACAATTAAGACAATACTCTGATTAAGAATCTACCATGTAAACAGAGATTTTTGATTACCTTAATCCGGCTAATGTCATAATCGAAGTAAACAAAAATCGAATTAAGACATGTGGAGTATTCCTATTTTAGTCGCATTACTGAAGTGCAGTATAGACATGTAAACACCTTAATCAAATTATTACTGTTTTGATGTGATTTTATAATATGTCAAACTGTTGGGTTAAATATGTAAAATGCTTCGGTTGCCCTACATTTCAGCTAACGGAGTTCAGTAATGCAGTTCAGCTTGAAATCTCTAGATTCTCTTGCAGCCAAGACCTTAAAGGGAGCAGACAAATTAGCTTAATAAATGGTGGTAGTTCCAGTGGGGTTGGCCTAAAAAAGACCATTTAAAGTAATACTTTTACACAGAATATTATCATTTGAATAATTATTTCCTGAATAAAGAGAACATTAAAAAGTAGTTACACAGAACACTAGTTTTTATGACAGTAACCAAAACTTATATATAAACATGATGTGTGAATAGGGCTTATCAATTAATACCTGGGATATTCAGCTCAGTGCAAAAATGGTAGTCCACAGCATTCAAAGTAGGATGAAAGTCTATGAAATCATGGCTTTCAACCTTTAAAAATGAAAACCACTACAAAACAACTAAGCAGCTTTCATTAGCCTTATTAGGTGTAGCTAATTATGTGACAGTATCACATGACATAATGATGCCATCACATGACAAAAACACCAGCTTCAACGTCAAGGAAAGGTTAAATATATATTGAAATCCGTTCAGTTTACAGTTGTTGTTTTTTTAATTGTTTAGACACTAAAAGTGATACTTGAGGCCCACTTAGTGAAATCATTCACTCATATTTCTAATCTTTAGACCAAGTCTGCAAAACTACAAGCACATTACAAGCTTTAAACTCAATTTGCTATTGTAAAACAAACTTTTTGCAAAACTCTAAACACAGTTCTTTACACCTCGACTACTAACAACACCTATTTTGTTTCATTTGGGAAACACTACCATTTATAATAAATGTCACACTCATTTACTTACACCCAGTGATCATATGTGAAAAGTGTTTTTTTTTTTTTTTAAGTTTTTTTTCTATTAAGTACTTTAGAAATAAATTTGACTTAAATTTGTGTCTGTATGTATATGTATGTATGTATATATATATATATATATATATATATATATATATATATAGATTCAAACACACACACACTGAATATGCATCTGTGTTGTATGCATATTCAGTATACAGTACTGTACATATATCATCTCTATATATAGATATACAGATACACATACAGAATATGCATACAAGCAAAGTCAAAGTCAACTTTATTTCTAAAGTGCTTTATAAAATATAGATTGTTTAGCAGCGTCACAATAATATCAAATTCAAATTCTGCTGTAAAACAGCTCTAACCAATAGTCATTATACAGCTCAAGTCAGTTCAGTATTGATTCAGTTCAGTTGCATAACTGTAAAATTCATCAGTTTGTAAAACTATAGTTTTACATACTGTATATACAGTGTACATGTGCATATGCATGTATGTGTGACTGCTATGACAAACTCCTTTGCTCCACTGCACTCTGAACAAGCAAAAGACACACAAGAGTAGTGTTTTACATTTTTCACATCTGTGTGTAGTTTGGCGTGTATGTTGATAATTATTTTATGTTTGTGTGTAGAGTTTTGAGAAATGGAGCCATAGTTTCAAAAACTAAGCATTTTCAAAAAACTGTAATATGTATGTCTTTTAATACAACTGATCTTGATGGTCAAGCAATGAATCGTTGGGTATGTTTATAGATAACTATAGATAGAGAAACAAGGTTGCAATTTCTGAAAGGGGTATTCAAGTATAATTATTTCTTGTTAAGCTAATTTATTTGGGATGATCACAACCACAGTGTTCTGTCTGTGTGTGTGTGTGTGTGTCTATTTATGAAAGCGACAGAGAGAGACTGAAAGAACATGAAACAGGATAGAGATAGAGTACAAGAGAGATGAAACAGTCAATGATTGTGTAACCTTCAGATGCATCTGAAGAAGGGAGGCAGATGACAGGTAACTGTTGCATCAAAAAGAGGCATTTTACATTATGCTAAGAGATACTGTAAACAAAATCTTTACTCTGGTAGAGAATGTCAAGTTACTTTAATTCACCCTTCATCTGAAAAGGTCAACTATAGATTCAGTCATATGGTGAGAACATTTATTGGCAGCAAACTGTTCATGCACAAAACTTTTTTTCATAACACACTGGATAAATGGTATCACAATCATTATGGATTATAAATTATGTATGTATTCATTATGGTTAGTTACATAAGTGAGTGTATTTTTAATGTGGCAGCTGTAGCCTGTATTACTGTAACATTTATTCAGGAACAGGTGATTTGAAACATCCATCCTGCATTATTTGACTAAATAGAATTAAACCAAATGTTCTCATATTGTGTTACGATAATCTTGTGTTTTGAAACGATTATGTGGAAAGAAATTGTGTAACGAAAGTATGATATCAGGTTTTAAAAGAATGACTAGCTGTTACACGTGATTTGGAGTTTTGTACTAAGAATTTTGAAAATTGACCATTAACTTGGGAAAATAGTACCAAAGCAAAAATAATATATATATATATATATAGTTATAAGAACTAAAATATAAGATATATAATCTAAGATAGACTGATATGTTATCAGCTTAATAGGGAAGAGTTTGCATACTAAAATACTTGTACATGGATTTACAAAAGAACGATTAGTGAATATATTAAACGTTACCCTTTTTATTCAAATGACCTAAACTGTTAGATTTGGTTTGTGTTCGTATTGTATCGTGTCCTTAATCAAATAAATAATAATTGGACAACAATGAGAGTGTTCATATAAAAAATAACTGCACAGGCCTGATTACTGCAACCGCATTCTGTTTTACATAACACGCAGTGTAAATATAGAAAACAGAGGGGGAAATTAGGAACTGAGGAATGTGCGTGTAGGTTAATTCATTTTTTAATGCATGCACCGAACACCTAAAGATCAAACAGCACCAATATTATTTTTGATAACGAATCCCAAAAACGTCTAAATGCATTGAGAAATGATGCTGCGTGGATGAGACAAATATAAAATGCATGCCTACCTTGTATCCCATATTTTTCTGACGCTTTATTCTTGGTTAGTTCAATCAGTTTCCTTCAGTGCCCGGTCTTGGCATTTTAGATATTTTATGCATAACGTTACAGATAAGCTATATTGTATAATGCCTTAGTATAATAACCTAAAATCCCGTTAAGACTTTTTCCCTTTTTTCCCTTTCGAAGAGATCAACTACGACTTGACATCTATATACAGATGATCATATCGCGATGATGCATGTTGATAAATCGCCATGTTTATATACTGTATAATAGTATGGACAGACAGAGCTGGTGCGTTGATCGTTCAGTCTGATGTCTCTAGCGGAAGAAGGCTGTCTGTTAGGTTGTATCGTGTGCGACTGCGGCTGTGAATGCTGCGGTTACTGCAGTCCAGTTTTTGCCACTATCGCTGATGTTGTTTGAGCTTCTGATTGCGAACCGGCAAACATGCGCACATAGCATTGTGTGGTAAAATTAATGAATTAAATGCAGAAAAAATTAACTGTAGTGCCTTTAACATGAAATTACCCTTTCTCCGTCTTCATTCCGTGCGGTTAGGCACAATGTAGCATTATTAATCGTTTTGTTAAAATACTGTAGTAAATATCAGCCTACATGTTGTCCGTGTTAAATCGTGATTTGATTGCATATTTAGCAGCTGTGGTGAATTTAGTATCACGTGAAGTTCATTTTCAATGTTGTTTAGAGTTGAGTATGTGGGTTCCATAGTGTAGCGGTTATCACGTCTGCTTTACACGCAGAAGGTCCTGGGTTCGAGCCCCAGTGGAACCATGGTTTTAAACAATAAGTGTGATGCTATATATGATGTTGATGTTATAGGATGCATAAATAGCTTTACTTGCAGAATAGTTTATTTATTCTACTTTTCTGCATTCCGTGATGGTGTTAGAGCCATTAATGTCTGTTTCGGTTATTTTAACTGTACAAAAAAAAAAACCATCATAAGGCTTCGTGTTGCAAAGTGGTAGCTGCTGGCTCAATGATTTGGAAGTCTTACACATTCACATGAAATAGATTACTTTCGTGTGGGAAAATACTGTAAGGTGTTTCCAGTGTTTTATAACATGGGGCCCCTGAAGTTATTCCAGAGGGGCTGTGGAAAAATTAAACACACAGAACTAATATCTACTAACCATTTTAACTAATGATTTGATTAGCACGTTACTCTTAAATAAAGTTATTATAAATTGTTAAGGTCAACTCTTGCATTAAGATCCTATGATTGGTATAAAATACTATACTCTTGGATTTTCTGCTGATTTTTGGTGACGTAAAAAAAAAAGTTGTGTATGCAGCTGATATATGAAGTTTTGTGTTTGCTAGAGTTACTTGTGATATTTTTGGATGCAGTTATGGGATCACCGTTGGTTGAAAATTATATATTTTGTAAAATGAAACCTTATTGTAGTTTCAGTTGAAGTTTATAATGGTCAAAAAGAGCAAAATTGTCGGCTAGTATTTAAATGAAAATATTATTAAAGTGTATGATTTTATTGTAGTCTCCAGCGGATAAAAAAAAAAGTACCTGTTAATGAATTTATTGCCGAAAAAGTGGAGATGCCGGGGATTGAACCCGGGACCTCATACATGCGAAGCATGCGCTCTACCACTGAGCTACATCCCCACGTGACGTAAAAGCATGTGAATTTGACCTAAAAAGATAGAGAGTCAGAATGACTTCTCTTCGTTTTCGAAATGTAGCACAGAGCAGCAAAAATTCTTTTTTTGCCGGGAAACCTATTAGACTAAAACCTTTTACCGTTAGATAACTTAAAGTTTTCTGAAATTAACGTTGCTAATGTTGAAAATGAAAATACAAAGTGTTTTCTTTCTGAACGTGGGAACAGGGTTGCCGTGACACACGCCACCCATAAGGTTATAAGAAATGCTCTTTGTTCTGTCTCTTTCCCTCCTGCAAGGCTTGTCTGGTCTCCTCTGTTTGGTAATATATTGGGACAAAGCTCGGAAAATATCAAATAAGTTTTGTATCAATAATAGAAGTGTCTTACAAAATAAGTAGAAAGATTTCATCTAAACATTTCATTTGTGGACAAGAAAAAAAAACTACCGGTACTTTGTATTTGTTTTATCATTGTATCTACTCAAGATTATTTTGGAATGATTTAGAAATTTATATTAATAGAAAACTGGGATGTGCAATAGAGATTTGTGTTTTTTATGCAATAGAGATTGATGTGCTTTTTTATTTTCAGAATGGTATGAAAAGTAAAGAACAACATTATTCAGTTATTTATTTTACCAGGAAAGTATCTTATAGACTCTTTCTAAACATAACTTTTCACATTTTATAAGCGACTTTAAAGTATATGATCAAAACTCAAAATTACAGAACAACCTACAATTTCCTAAATTTCGAGGTAACTGTTTAGTCCTATTTGAAGCTATCCTAACAGGAGTAAAAAGCTCAGTTTTTAGGCATATTTCATGAGATAAATATATTCTGAAGCACAGTATAAAAAACTTAAATGAGAAATTTGAAAAAGAACACTGATAGCAATAGCAGCCATTGCAAGAGAAGTTGGCTGTTCCAAATCTGTGGTTTCTAGAATATTGCATCATTGTATGTCACTAATTCATTCGAGTCCCCCAAAAAGACTGGTTGACCATGAAGGACAGGATAATGCGGAGAATCTCAATGGGCAATCAGTTCAACACTGCAGCTGGAATTGCTCATTTAAAGTTTAATTTATTTGGGTCCAATGGGAAACATTATGTTTATCGTCAAACTGGGGAAAGACTGAACCCAGAGTGTATAAAGAAGTCAGTGAAAGGTGGAAGAGGAAGTGTCATGGTTTGGGGGATGTTTCTGCAGCAGGAGTTGGGCCTCTTATATAGCTACATAGAAGAGTGAATGTAGGCCTAAATATTTATCAGAACCTCCTGTGGCAACATGCGGTTCCTGTGAATGACAGTTATGTAAGAAGTTATGGAACGATTGACGAAGAAAAGAAATCACAGAGAAAATATTGACTGATATATTAATTTATTTGGGGGGGACTATAATAAATATTTTAGAATATTTTAATTTTAAGTAAATATTTTTAAAGAGGATTTTACAGTAATATTTACAGTAATTATTTAATAGCTTATCATCTGTAATACCTTAGTGTAACCACTAGATGGCTGTACAGCCTACTATTTGAATATATAAATAGGCTGTGTATTCCGTAGTTGTGGATTCGTGGAACATTGTTTTCAAACATAATTGTATTAGATTATGCATTTTCCAGGTACCTTTAGTCAGTGTTGGATCGGGACAGAGTGGACTTTAATATAGTTATTTTCATAGAATTTAAGTAAGTCGTTTAAAGGGATAGTTCACCCAAAAATGAAAATTCTGTCATTATTTACTCACCCTCATGTCGTTCTAAACCCGTAAGACCTCCGTTCATCTTCGGAACACAAATTAAAGGGGTAATATGATGCTTTTTTAAAGATCATTATTTTGTGTATTTGGTGTAACAGAATATAAGATATTTTTAATGGAATCTGAGAGCTCTCTGACCCTCCCATAGACAGCAAGGATCCTTACACGATCAAGGCCCAGAAACATAGCAAGGACATCGGTAAAATAATCCACGTGACATCGGGGGTTCAACCGTCATTTTACAAAGCTACAAGAATACTTTTTGTGCGCAAAATAAAAACAAAAAACGACTTTATTCAACAATTCGTCTGCTCCGCGTCTCCCTAGCGCCATTTCGGAGAGCATCCACTGAAAGTAAATTGCGTATGCTGTTTTGTGTCAGCTGTGGCACGCGGGTACGCTGTTTACGTCGTTTATGCTTTGATTTGAATGAAAACAACGTATCCGCGTGGCGCAGCTGACACAAAACAGCATACGCAATTTACATTCAGTGGCTACATTTACATTGTTACCGTGGGTAAGAGATATCCATTCCCCACCCGTCGGAACGCTATTTTGACGGAGTGGGACCCTCCACCAGAAAGCAATTTCAAGGAGGGATAAACCGCAGAAAAAAATCCCTATTGGGCTACTTGGCAACCCTGACTGGTACATTGCATCGAAAATCAACTTGAGTCTGTTACAGAAGTAGAAGCCAAAATTCGAAGACTTGCCAAAATACAATGAGACAGATAACAGAGTAAAACAAGGGTCAACATTGGCGGTGCGTTTAAAAGATGGAGTAATTTGTTTGGGTTTGGGTTTCAAACAACACAAACTTGCGGAATATCTTCTGGGGTGTATTCCAGAAAGTGGGTTTTGTTGGAAACTCAGAGTTTGTTAACCCCAGAATAGGGAAACTCAGGGTTTTCGGTTCCAGTAAAAGACAAAACTAAACCTCTCGGTAAGTTACCATAGTAACATACTCTGTGAACCTAACCTGGTCGGGAGCAGGTTTTCTTCTGTAAACCCAGAGTTTCTTTCAGTCTCCTCCCCCTTTTTAAAGCGTAAGCAATGTTTAAAGGGGTCATATGATGCGATATCAATTTTTCCTTTCTCTTTGGGGTGTTACAAGCTCTTGGTGCATAAAGAAGATCTGTAAAGTTGCAAAGATTAAAGTCTCAAATCCAAAGAGATATTTTGACAAGAGCAGTCTGCTCTGATTGGCCAGCTGACCCAGTGCATTGTGATTGGCCGAACACCACAAGCACGCGTCGGAAATGTAACGACCCTTACCATAATCGCGAGCTTCAGCTTTCAAAGTAAATATCTAGACAGTTAATAAAACTTTTATAAAGAATATCTCTTTGGATTTGGATTTAGTTAATAATGTCGTTAGTTTTACCATCAGTTCAAGCCCGAAAGGGCAACACAGTCGCGTGACAGACACAGTGATGATGCAGTACACAAGCCGCGGTTAAGACAGCTGACGTGCTATGATTTCTGACAGGCAGTTCACTCTCCTGTGATGTGACCCTGTTCCCCTCACACACACACACACACACGACGCGTTAAGTAAGGCCCGTTCACACCAAGCACGATAACTATAAAGATAACGATATAGTTCTAAAAATCGTTTTCAATATTAAAGAATAGCATAGTTCACACCACAACTATAAC